TTTTCCTGTGTGATTTTCAGACAATGTCTGGCAGCCTGGCAGGAGCCCACCACCACATGTAAATGAGGCATCCTAAAAGTACCTATCAGCTAAGGCTTTTACCACTACCCCCACAGTATAAAGTATCCTGGTTTTCCCTCAATAATCAGAGCTGGATCACTAAGACTTGGAGCCGAGCTAAGTCACTGAATAAAAGAGCTGTACCACTGACTGAGCTGAGTTCTGTGTGATCCTGCCTCTCCGGAGAGAGCTGTCTCTTCGTAAACCACGACTCATGGAAATCCAGCTTTCGCCGTCTCCGCACCTTCCCACGCGATCCGGCAGCTGACGGATCTCGTATCTCGAGGAAGTGCATGGTGGATTGGGATGGAACCCGACTGGGCCAGCCCCGGTAGGGCCAGCCCCGGTAGCAGAGAGCCTCTGCGACACGGAGAAGCAGGGACCTGCCAGCAACGCGGCGAGCCAGGGACCCAAACAGCAACGCGGTGTGGGACCCACCGCACCCCAGGTGCACGCAGGAGACTGGTGCCACGCCCAGCAGCTGGCGCTCCGAGATCCCTGCGCCCCCATATTTTTCCAGTCTCAAAATTTTTGATTTTCATAACTTAAAAAATATTTTGTTGTAGAGGCTAGAGAGGAGGCTTCGTGGTTAAGAGTGCTTGCTGCTGTCCCAGAAGACCTGAGTTTGTTTCCTAGCACCCATTTTGGTTGGCTTAACAATCATCTTTAACTCTAGGTCCAGATTAGATACCCTCTTCTGGCCTCTGATGGGACACACACACACACACACACACACACACACACACACACGCAAATAAAAATTAATCAATCTAAAAGAATGCCATGTAGGCCAGATGTGGTGGCGCACACCTTTAATCCCAGCACTCGGGAGGCAGAGGTAGGCGGATCTCTGTGAGTTTGAGGCCAGCCTGGTGTCTACATAGTGAGTTCCAGGACAGCTAGGGCTGTCTCAAAAAGACAGAAAAAAAAAAAGGATGCCATGTAAAGGACAGATACTGTAAGACTGGGAGGGAAAACAGGACACACTTCTTCCCTCTCTGTCTCCCCTTCCTCCTTGGCTCAGCCCTTTTTCCTATTCTTTTTTTCTTGAGACAGGGCTTCATTGTATATCCTAGGCTAATGTAAAAGTCTTTGTGTAGACCAAATGCTTCCAGATTTTCCATGTATATGGACTTAAAGAAAAATAGATGAGTCCATAATTACAGTTGGAAATGCTTGTCATTGTGACAAGTTGTCAAGTCTGGGGATACAGCTCGATGGATGAACATTGCTTAACATAGATGGAACCTGGAGTTCCATCCTTAGCAGTGCAAAACAAACAAAAGTGCTAGGTAGACAGAGAACAGCTGAACAACATTATTAACCAGTTTGGCCTAGTTGACTTCTTGTGGGAAGTATGTAAAAGAGAAAGTACAGCAGAAATTATAATCTAAAATGTTTATTTTAGCAAAGAATGACCTCAAATGAATGCTCTAAGCTTCAGATTGAGGGAACTACTAAAAGAGCAAATTAAACGTGAAGCTACCAGTAAGCAAGGAACAAAAATAAAAGAAATAAATGAAGTTGAAAACAGAAAAATTGAAAAAATCAATGTAACAAAAAAGTGGTTTAAAAAAATCTTTCATAATGCATAGACAGACAGCTGTGGAATCTCCCTGTCCATCCAGAGATGCTCGCTGAGAGCTAATGCTGAAAGGAAGGAAGGATCTTGGAGGCCAGACCTCAGAGGGGGCAGGGACGGGCAGGGAGCATGCACACTGTAGTGAGCATGGAGAATTGCCATACTAGACCAGCCACTGTGTGGAGTCCACACAGCTTTTGACATCATTGCTGCAGCTATGCTAGCTGGCCTGCCACGCCCACTTCAAGTCAACTACACCTTTGTTTTGTCTAATAGAGTGATGCCATCAATCACGATTTTTTGTTTTGTTTTGTTCTGTTTTTTGTCTTTTTGAGATAGGGTCTCCTTGTAGCCCCAGCTGGCCTGGAACTCACTATGTAGACCAAGCCGGCCTTGAACTCACAGATTCATCTACCTCTGCCTCCTGAATGCTGGGATTAAAGGTGTACACCACCACGCCCAGCTGTAAACAGGATTTTTAACTGTTATTACTGTTTAACTTTTAAAATAATTATTTTAATTATTATCTGTGGAGAGAGAGAGCTAAAGAGAGAGAGAGAGAAAGAAAGAGGAATTGCTTGAGGAGGTACAACTTGTCCTTCAGAGGACAACTTTTGGGAATCAGTTCTTTCCTTCCATTGTAGGCCCAGGGGTTGTACTCACTGGAGTAGTGGCCCAAGGCTGGCTGGAGGGACACTGGTAGATATGGTAGGCTACTGAAATGGTTCTACTATGAGAGAGAAGGAGAGGGCCTGCATTAGGCATTGACTACCAGGATAAGAGGAGCGGGCAGACAGGACTTCAGGCACAACACATGGAGTCAGGGGCAGAATCAAAGATGACTTATACTTGTAAGTGTAGAAATAACACATGATGACATTTCACGTTAAAAATATGTGAAGACTTACTTCACTTAATGCCCCTAAAAGGAGTGTAGTTGGGAACTCATCAGCCAACAACACCAGGGATATTGAGACTCTGTTAATGTATGACTAAGCTTTAGAGTTGTAACAGGTGTGAGAGAGAGAGAAAAAGAAAGAGGGAGAGAGAGAGAAAGAGAGGGAAGGGGAGAGAGAGAAAAAGAAAGAGAGAGAGAAAGAGAGGGATGGGGAGAGAGAGAGAGAGAGAGAGAGAGAGAGAGAGAGAATTACCAGGCAACAGTGGATCATAGCTTTAAAAAAGTAAAGGGGAAGACTATACTCTCAGGGATCGTTTCTATAGTTCATTGCTAGAGAAGTTTCTCTGACTGTGTAGAGTACCAGAAACCACAAGGAGGAGAGGTAGCATTCTTTCCCAAGCATGAAGCCAGCTGTTGGTGTTGCTTCACTGCAACTGCCTTCTGCCATTGATGATCATTCTGTTCTCTTTCGGGAGAGAGACATGATGCAGTCTGAGTGGTTAAAAAAAAAAAAAGTAAAGGAGTTGGGCTGGGTGTGGTGGCACAAGCCTTTAATTCCAGTGCTCAGAAGGCAGAGGCAGAGGCAGAAGCAGGAGATCAAGGCCAGCCTGGCCTACATAGTGAGTTCCACGGTAGCTGGGGTTACAGGGAGACCATGTCTCAAAAAGAAAAAAAAAAAAAAAAAAAGCAGTGGGTTCGAACTTAGCTCCAGGAAAGTTCCTCTGCTTATTGGGAGACCAACCAGTTCTGAGCTAAACTGCCCAGCCTATGTCATGGAAGTTTACCCAACCACCCAACTGCCTATAAAAGATGTCTGTCTACTGCCCCTGCTTGTTGCTGTTTCCCTGCTCCCTGAGAGGTAGCTCAGTGGTCTGTTTGCTCTCAAATAAACTGCTGTCCCCCCAAAAAAGACACACACACAAAAAAAAAGCAAAGAAAAACTGGGAAAGGAGGTCAAAGCTCATTGAGGACCAGAGTTTGGATCCTCAGAAACCTATGCAAACACAAGGTGGGCTTGGCGGTCACCTGTAATTCCAGAGGCAGAGGCAGGGGATCCCAGAGCAAGCTAGCTACAAGCCTAGCCATATCAGGGAGCTCTGTGTTTGACTGAGAGAGCCTGCCTCAATGAATGAAGTGGAAGAGCAATGGAGGGTGATTCCTGACATGACATCAACTTCAGAACTCCACATGTGCTCTCTCATGCTCTCTCTCTCTCTCTCACCACACACACTCACACCACACACACACATGCATACTCACATGTACATCACACAGAAATAAAATGGAAAAAATAAACAAAAAGCAAATAGGCCAGGCATGGTGGCCCATGTTTGTAATACCAGAACTTGGGAAATCAAAGGTGATAGGTAAAAATGTTGGAGAGAGCGAGCGTGCGGGTGGTGGAGAGCATGAGCGGATGGATGAGGCACCGAGGCACAGATGGAATTCTCAGTGGGATTCGAGTTGCCAAATATTTCTGGTGAGCTTCTGGATGTTAGGCTATCTCTGGATTAATAGGTAGAGGATGGGCGGGAGCTAGCGGCTCGGATGGAGAGCACGAGTGGATGGATGAGGCAGGGAGGCTCAGATGGAATTCTCAGTGGGACACAGATTTATTTCGCACGGGGCACCTTTCCCTCGAGAAGGGAAAGATGTCCACGAAGGGAAAGATGGAAGGGAAGGGAAGGGAGAAGGGGGAAGGGGGAAGGGGGAAGGGAAGGGAGTCAGGGAAAGATGTTCAGGAAAGATGTCCGCGGGTTGTGAGCTGGGACTTTAGGGTGTGGAATCAGGGAGGGGGAAGCAGGTAGGATTAGGGTGTGGAAGTGTTTACTTTTTCCCTCTTAAGATGAGAGAAAAACAGCTTCTAAAATCTCTGGTTATCAGGTAGAATCTGCTTATCTTATCTTTGGAGATCAGAGGAGAGGCAGGCTGCTTCTCAGCAGAGTTTGTTTCCCTTGACTCCAAAGGTCAAGGTGAGGTCCCTGTTGGGGAGGGGGGAAACTGCTGCTGTTTGGAACCCTAACAAAAGGAGGAGGATCAGGTCAAGTCATCCTTTGCTACCTAATGAGTTTGAAGACAACCTGGATTATAAAAGAAACTGTTTTAAACAATAACAAAACAAATTAAGAAAAAGGGAATTGGAGGATGGGTTCTGACCTGTATTGGTGTAGTGGCTCTGATCTTGGCAGACTGCCAGAAAGTGCCGTGTTCTTGGCCTCCCTCTTGCCTCCATCTGGCATAGGAGCTGAGAATGCAGGGGACTGCTTGAGAGCCCTGAGAGCCTGCCTTCATGTGGTGAGCTTCCCCTAATTGTGCCATGCCCATCCCCCTACCTGGGATTTCACGAGGTCCCTCCAGAGGCCCCAGGGCAGATCTGGCTTTGGTAGGCTAAGGGCTGAGATCCTACCACACAGCCTGAGAGGGTGGGTTTCAACCTCCATCAGTGTAGCGGCTCTGATCTCAGCAGATCGCCAGGGAGTGCTGAGTTCTGGTCTCCCTCTGGCCTCCCTCTGGCATAGGGGCTGAGATCGCAGGGGACTGCCTGAGAGCGCCTGGATCCTGCCTCCACATGGTGAGGGAAGCCTGAGTTTACCTGATTGGAACCTGAATTGGGCTTCTGTGGGTACTCCTGAATAGCTGATCTGAAGCCATCAGTTCCCTCTAAAATTAAACCTGAGAGAACCTGAACCCTGTACCAACCAGCTTTACATAACCAATAAAGAAAGGATTTAGCACCCAGATGATACAAAGAGAAGCACACTTCAACTTAATTCTCATATCAGAATCATAAACAACAAAAGAAATTCATATACCAAAACTACAATGAAAGAATAATAAAATGGAAAGCCCAAACACTATGTCTCCACCAAACTCTACCAATTCTGTAGAAAAGTTCTACAAGGAGAACCCCCTGGAGATAACCCACGACACTGAATTTAAAAGAACAATCATAAACATGATCAAGAAATTCAATGAACTTAAAGAACACATGAACAAAGAAAGAACTAAAAGAAGATAGGGATAAACTTCTGAGTGAATTCACAAAAGACATAGGAACATTGAAGAAAACTCAGGCAGAAATGAAAGGAAGTGCAAAACTCAATAAGCCAACTTGAAACAACAGGGGAAAGCCTCACTGCTA